CTGCAGCAAGGACCTCTTCAAGCAGCAACCTGAGGTCCATCCAAGCTCATCACTCACAGCTCTTCATTAAAAGAAGGTATGGAGGTGGCCCAAGTTTGGGCCATTCTTTACACGAAGCCTAAAGTATGTCTGTTTGCCCCTGGGGTCAAAAGCACAAACCTCATTACTGAGTTACACCACCACACTGGAAATGAAATTGTATCTGCCTTTCTCTTGAAAATCCCCCTTTCACAGCCTGCAGCTTTCAACACATGGAAATCCTGGACCCCCCTTGACACCATCAACCTATTCAGGGCTCCAAAACCAATATCAAAGTCTGACTAAAGCCATTCAGAAGCTGTTAGCATGTAGATTTTGGTGATAATTCAGTGAATGGACTTGTCAAACAAATTGCCTTTATTATGGACTGATTAAATGCAATCAGGGAGAAGTACCTTTCCCCTCCCAACTCCAGCCCTCATCAGCTCAAACAAACACACTGAGTCAATTAGCAGGGAGGTGGCAAAAGCAGCTTTCACTTGAAACACGCCATTCTGGGAGAAGAAAATAAATAAATAAATAAACAAACAAACAGACAAATAAATAAATAAATGAAAAAACACCACAACAACAAAATATCTTTGTGCTTTCAAAGCCAGGAAGAGCCTCCAGAGAGCTCTGGAAAGCTACCCAGGGCTCACCTGCAGGGTGTGGATGGGAGTTATCAGGAATCATCTGGCTGGATGCCAGAGCAGCTCCCTTAAGCAAAGTGCTGCTCACATCCTGCTTGTGCCAAATATTATGCAAAGAACATAAATATTAAAGCAGGCCCAGGGGGAGTAGCACTACTGGGACTGTTATTTCTACAGCAGTATCTCCTGCAGCTGGGTTCTCCTGTGTCAGAAAAGGCAGGAGCTCCCATCAAAGTTATTTCCATGCCTAGAAACCAAAGTTTTTTGGCTTACATCCCTGCAGTGGATTCTCTGATGTCTGCAAATGGTTGAGGTCACAGCACAGCTTTTTCTGCACTGTGGCAGGAGAGAAAGGATCTGTCTCTGCTAACATGAAACTTGTAGCAACTGCACAGATCTGATGCCACTGCCTTTCTGTCCAACATGCCTGAAATTAGCTAATGAGTGGGAAAGTTATTGAGGGAGGGGATAGAATTGGAGCACAGCATCATAATCCCATAAACCTAATTCCCTGCTCCTATGCAGCTGGAAATTAAATGGTCACCTACCTTGGCTGGCAGTGGGCAGAGCAGAATTCAACATGTGTTTGCATGAATTAGCTTCAGAGACAGGAATCCTATGCACACAGGATATGAGCAATAGCTGTTGACTAAGCTTCCAGTGCCTACATTATCAGTTAGCACCAAGGACTAATTTTGGCCCTGTTTTCATTAACCTAGTCACCCTAAGGAGCAAGCTCTGTGCATTGCACAAGACTCAGTGCCTCCCAGAACCTATACAGAAGACCTATGGCATAGCTGCTTCTGACAGCCCAAGCCATTGCTTTGTCTTGGACTTCCATCACAAGTAGAGAAGGGATAAAATAAAGGTGAAGTTTTATCAGGTGTGACCGATTTCAGAGAGTTCATTGCCAGGACTGAGATTAAGATTAAGGGTTTATAGTTAAAGCACAGAGACTCAAAACACCAGCCTCTTACCTCACATCTCATCACAGTCTTCAAGTGTCACCTTGAACATAAGGGGTATGTGACACATCATGAAGCTAGGTCCTGAGCCTTCAAACAGTTCTGAGCACAGAATGATATTAGATCAGAGCTCACACTACAAGCAGCCACAGAGAAAAAGTCCAGGCCTTCTTAAGAGGTGGCTGCAAAGTGCCTGATAACTCCACTCTCTCCCCAAGAACCTGCTTCCTACCCCCACACGCTCCTGCACACATCAATGTTTAAAGAACTTTTAAAGAAAACAACTGCAAAGCTCTTCACATAGTTCAAATACTTCACTTAAAAGGAATTTTAATTCTTAAATCTCAGATTGCACCAGTCCCCAGCAGGACATGCACTCATCATGTTCGCGTTGTGGCATTTGAGCAGTTCAAACAGGGATGGAGCCACAGTGTGAAACCATGAGCTCAGAGGCCTGGGAGCCAAGGTGATGGAGATCCCCACCAGCTCTACCTGTGCTTTACGTGAGCAACCCAGTTCAACATATCTCTGCTTACTCTCTCAGGGTGCCTCCTCATGACCTGTGTAAAAAAGAGATCTTCCCGCAGCCAAGAGACACACATCTTCAAGGCCCGGCCAGTGGGAGAGTACTGGGAGCAACAGGATGTGAGTGGGTGCACAATTCTTGTTAAGTCTTTCAGCCAGTCCTGTTGTATGGCTGCAGTGTGTGGATCAGATCAGTGGTGCTTGTCATCTGCTTAGAGTTCAAGAGTGGACATCACTAAACTGTTTCTTTTCAAGGCTGGATCTGTCTGGCCATGACCCATTACCAACAGCAGCACCTCCCCAGCAGCAGTGAGTCAAACCAAGCTGAGAACCTGAAGAACCTTTGTTGCTAAATGAAGCACTGAGTTTTAAAAAGTAATTATTCTCCAAAGAGTATCAGCTGCTCTCTCTGGGCTTTACTGCTATCTGCAACCTGGAAAAGCCCTTCCATCCCAGTGACTTGTGTCATCTCCTCTTAGCAGCAGTTGAACTGAGATCACAGCAAGCCTTGCATTCCTCAGCAGCAATAATCAATACAAACCCATTAATCTCCTCGGGATGCAGACAGTTCATGTTTTGGATGCACCACCTCTAGCTGGGATAGCATATGGTAAGGAAATAAGGCTTCCTCAAAGACAATCACCTGTACAGTTCCAGCCACACAGAACTCAGAACACTCTGAAGTACAGAAAAAGTATCTAAGTGGCCAGAAACAATTACAGTCTAATTATGTCAAAAGGCTTCCTCCCTTCCACTCCTCATGCCAGTTGACAATTCATATACAGGGGCAACAGTAACAAACAAGGTGCCCCATCAAATAGGAAGAGTTATCTGGGCCACCACTCCTTCCCAGAGGCACATGGTACGTGCCCTCAAGCACTGGAATGAGATGAATGAGTTCATTGCAAAATGTATTGGGGAAATAGGAGGTGAGATTTGGGAAAAGCTGTGCCCTTTCTTACCCCCTTTCATCTTGTGGCTACCCAGCTCCTGAACTTACAGAACTGTACTTGAGCTACCACACACTGGGTACAGCCCTTTCCTGCAGCAAACCATGTTTCCTGTCCAGCAAGGTACATTCAGTCCAACAAGACTGGGGACATTTGCCAAGCCTGCTATCAGAAAACATAGCTTGGATCTGGTGGAAGATTTCAACATTCATGGAAACAGTCGGGAGGCTGCACTATTGGAATTACAGACCCTGCAACAGGGTACAGTGTTGCCAGGCACGTACACAGGGTTTTAAGCCACCCCTCTTCTCCCAAAGTATGAAAGTAGAGCTAGATTTTTTGTTTTGTTATCAGCAACCTTCTTATCCATTCTTTTAAAATGACAGCTTCTGCCCACTCTGCCAGCACCATCAAAATTTGCTTCCATTGCTCTGACTATACCACACACAAAATGATGTACACATGCTCTGGGACACTTTTGCTCATTTTAATGCTTAGCAATTTGCCCTGGCTGGGGTGAACTTTTTTTAGAACTGTATTTTAGAAGGTCCAGTACTTTCCCCATCGCAGCTTTAGCTCCTGTTGTGCCCACTCCGTGCACCCTTTCTGCATTAACTTGCTTCTCTGTGCTCCTCCAGCACAGAGAAAACTCAATGCCAAGAAAGAGATAAAGACACACTAAAAGCAGGGAAATGCCTGAGTCCTTTCCATTCAGAGGCAGATCTGCCTTGAATGGCAGCCCCCAGAATGGATCTGCCTCCAAAGGAGAATGAATCACAAGCAAGTCAACCCCCTTCAATTCACATTAGACTTCAAGCTACCGTTTATATTCTCCCCCCTCCACCACAAGCTCCTCCTTTCTAACACAAATCTCTCCCAGCACGCAGGCACATGCACTCCAAGGCAGCGAGCAGCAGTGTTGTGATGAGCTCAAACCACAGTTTGGTGAGATTCAGCTCTTTCTAAGGGCACTTTTTCATCAGCAAACTATAATTGGCAGCCCTTAACTGCTACAAGAGTTTTGCAACACACACCTAAAGAATATGCCAGACTAGATCTTCACACTAAGACCCCAAAATTAGAACCAATATCCTAGAAGCAAAGTGACCCTCATTAGTTATTTCAAAGCAAACTAATCAACCCTGCTCAACTGTAGAACGAGATCTTCTATATTTTCTCTAACCCATATGTACATTCACAAAGAGAAACAGAAAAGTAATATTAAAGTGACTGATGTAGCTGTTCATAGCTAGAAAACTTGTATGGGACTCAGGACCTTCAAAGTGCTGTGTATTTACCTACTGTGTACAACTCAAAATCAGTGCTATGAACATTTTTAGGTATAGAAATTACTTAGAAATGAGACACTTCTCCTGGCTTAAATAAACATAGGATGAGAATACAGTTTATTCTGTGCATGTAACTCCTTTATCACAGCTCAGGGGGCTTTTGCAACATTCAGGAGCTGTATGTTGAAAGGAAGGGAATCTGGCACAATACAAAACAATTGGTTCTTGCTATATTAGCTTTAATTTATGTCCTAGACCTTCCCAGTCTCCCAATGGAGCTCTTTTCACTCCTCAAAGAAACAACACAAAGCCAATACTACAAACGTACACAAGCCAACCCTATTCCCTTCCTTGTCCACGAAGTTACTCAGACTAACCCTGCTGAAACAGTTTTGCCAAGGATTATTGAGAAAGGCTTAGAACCAACTCAGAATCCTCCCACGGGAAGATGCTTTTCATCAGCTTAGTTTAAAAAAAGGTTAAAACGACTCGCCCAGTAACTATCCCAGGTCTGGCCACATCCACTTTCCCAGAGCTGCTCCTGAGCACCGCAATAAGGGCTCCGTCCAGCCTGGGAAGGGAGCAGCTCTTCCCCCTTACCTGAGAAGTCTGCAGAAGTCTTAGCAAAGTTGCTGAAAGCTGCCAAGCACACGAGTCCTACCAGGAGGGTGGAGGTGGGAGACACATCTGGGCTGCACATCCTTAAGGATCCTCACGGCTGGTTTTCTTCCAGAGGAAAGGAAAACGCTTGCTGCCCTAAGCCAGTACTGCTCATTGCCCGGAGAGCAGCGTTTGTCCCATTGCTGGGAAGGATCCCAGCGAGCAGCGGGGGAAGGAAAAGCACTCAGCGCGCACACACACACACACACACACACACACACACACACATCCCTGGGAGGGAATGGAGTGAGGCTGAGTGAGGCTGACGAATGAGACAGACCTACCTGAGCCTTGGCGGAGGTCCCAGGGTCCTAAAAGTCATCACTTCGCCCAAAATTGCTCCAGACTGTTCCTGTGCAGCTGCCTGACAGCCCCGCTGGAAGCTGGGGGGAGGGAGTCAAGATCTGGTCTCTCCGGTGCAGACAGACAGACAGACAAAAGGCAGTATGTTCAAAGGAGGCTGCCCCAGACAAAGCACCTGAAATCTCAGCCATTCGGACAATGCCCTTAATAACAGGATTTCGATTGATCAGCCCTGAATTGGTCAGGCAACTGGACAAGATGATCCTTGTAGGTCCCTTCCAACTGAAATAACACATTCTAGTCTATTTCATGATTCACACAGGTTTTGGGAGCAATGGATAGTTGTAGCTGCTGCTGAAATCAGTGTGAAAAGTGGTGTCCTGCCAGGCTGGTGACAGGACAATTCTTCATTGACAGTGATTCTACAATGGAAGAGACTCTGTACAGGCACAGGGATCAAACCTTCCTGGATCCCATTGCAGGGCTGGGACTGGTGTCAGCCCACATGTTCAAAATCCTTCTTCCTTTTGAGAGCAGCCAGCCATGCCAGGCTCCCTCTACCCCACTGGACCTTTCTCACCTTATCAAACTCAACAGAGGATTTTCATGCTGATCCTAACCTGTGGTGTCCAGACCCAGGACACCTGTCTCCCTCCACAGCAACTGTATTCACCTCCAGCTAGTGTGGCCTTAGCTGCTAACTCAAGCATTGCTCACCCTTCAGAGTTAAAAGGAAGCTCCAGCTCATCTGGATGCACATAGAATCACAGAGTGTTAGGGACTGGAATGGACCTCTGGAGATCATTTAGTCCAATCCCTTGCCAAAGCGGGTTCACGTAGGGCAGATCACACAGAAACGCATCCAGGTGGGTTTTAAGAGTCTCCAGAGAAGGAAACTCCACAACCTCTCTGGGCAACCTGTCCCAGTGCTCCATCACCCTCACAGTAAAGAAGTTTCTCCTCACATTGAGGTGGAACTTCCTAATGTTCTAGCTTATACCCATTGTTCTTTGTCCTATTACGGGGCACCGCTGAAAAGAGACTGGTCCCTTCCTCTTGATACCGACCCTTCAGATATTTGTAGACATTAGTAAAATCCCCTCTCAGCCTTCTCCATACCAAACAGTCCCAGTTCTCTCAGCCTTCATAGGAGAGATGTTCAAGTCCCTTAATAATCCTCATAGCTCTCCACTGGACACTCCCCAGTAGATACCTGGCTCTCCTGAACTGGGGAGCCCAGAACTGCACACAATACTCCAGGTGTGGTCTCACCAGGGCAGAGTAGAGGGGGAGGAGAACCTGTCTAGCCCTGCTGGACACACTTTTCTTAATGAACCCCAGGATACCATTGGGCCTTCTGCAGACAGACAGACAGACAAAAGGCAGTATGTTCAAAGGAGGCTGCCCCAGACAAAGCACCTGAAATCTCAGCCATTCGGACAATGCCCTTAATAACAGGATTTCGATTGATCAGCCCTGAATTGGTCAGGCAACTGGACAAGATGATCCTTGTAGGTCCCTTCCAACTGAAATAACACATTCTAGTCTATTTCATGATTCACACAGGTTTTGGGAGCAATGGATAGTTGTAGCTGCTGCTGAAATCAGTGTGAAAAGTGGTGTCCTGCCAGGCTGGTGACAGGACAATTCTTCATTGACAGTGATTCTACAATGGAAGAGACTTTGTACAGGCACAGGGATCAAACCTTCCTGGATCCCATTGCAGGGCTGGGACTGGTGTCAGCCCACATGTTCAAAATCCTTCTTCCTTTTGAGAGCAGCCAGCCATGCCAGGCTCCCTCTACCCCACTGGACCTTTCTCACCTTATCAAACTCAACAGAGGATTTTCATGCTGATCCTAACCTGTGGTGTCCAGACCCAGGACACCTGTCTCCCTCCACAGCAACTGTATTCACCTCCAGCTAGTGTGGCCTTAGCTGCTAACTCAAGCATTGCTCACCCTTCAGAGTTAAAAGGAAGCTCCAGCTCATCTGGATGCACATAGAATCACAGAGTGTTAGGGACTGGAATGGACCTCTGGAGATCATTTAGTCCAATCCCTTGCCAAAGCGGGTTCACGTAGGGCAGATCACACAGAAACGCATCCAGGTGGGTTTTAAGAGTCTCCAGAGAAGGAAACTCCACAACCTCTCTGGGCAACCTGTCCCAGTGCTCCATCACCCTCACAGTAAAGAAGTTTCTCCTCACATTGAGGTGGAACTTCCTAATGTTCTAGCTTATACCCATTGTTCTTTGTCCTATTACGGGGCACCGCTGAAAAGAGACTGGTCCCTTCCTCTTGATACCGACCCTTCAGATATTTGTAGACATTAGTAAAATCCCCTCTCAGCCTTCTCCATACCAAACAGTCCCAGTTCTCTCAGCCTTCATAGGAGAGATGTTCAAGTCCCTTAATAATCCTCATAGCTCTCCACTGGACACTCCCCAGTAGATACCTGGCTCTCCTGAACTGGGGAGCCCAGAACTGCACACAATACTCCAGGTGTGGTCTCACCAGGGCAGAGTAGAGGGGGAGGAGAACCTGTCTAGCCCTGCTGGACACACTTTTCTTAATGAACCCCAGGATACCATTGGGCCTTCTGTACCACACATCCTTGATCCTGCCTGATTTCCAGCTGCATCCTGGCAGCACTAAGCCAGTCATGATAACTTGGAAGACCTGAGCTGAGCTCTCAGGACAGAGGTGGACTGGTCTGGTAGACCCTGTTCAGCCTGGGTACAGGAAGGAGAACCCAGGCTTCAGGGATCAACGTTACCTGCAGCTTGGGCATATTTTTGCATATAAGTAATAGACATAACCAACATATTTAAGCCAGAGCACAGACTCAGTGCAGAGAGCTGGGGATAGTTTTCATAGGAAAAGCCAACACCAGCCACTTAGCAATCTGTGTATACACATCCACAAACCTGTGTGAGGCTGCCAGGGGAGGGGAGACAGAGCCAGGCACATGCACAGCTGCTGAACAAAGTTGCAGCTTCTATCCAACAAAAATAACTCAAGTGGGAACATCCAAGGAAAACCACAACTGGTTTTTACTGCTCTGTCCTGTTCTTCCACATGGAATCAAGCCAGAGTTTCCAGAAACATTCACCTTGGAGCTGCACATGAGTGTAAGAGACTTCAGCCCAAAAGGCTCTGGGTTTTTTTCAGAGCTGAGTGCACTTGTAAAGAGTTTCTTATGCAGAAGGTTTATAATAATGTATCAGCTGTTCTCAGATGAAAATCAGACTGGCAGTCAGATTATATGTGAAAGAGATTTTCAAGAGTGTTGCCATGAATACCACAATCACTGTTTTCACCAGAAATCTGTCCAGGGATGATCTGCATGCTAAAAGAAAACTTCGAGGGCAGCTGTAAATTCTGTGCCACTTGCTGAAGTTCCAATCAGACACACTGAAGATGAGGGTGGTGTGGGTAGTGAGTGAGGGTAGCCCTTGAGTTAGAGCTTCGATCCAGTCCATGCCCCATCCACCCAGTCCAGGTGAACAAGGCCTAGATTGCACCTAAGCAACCCTCCTTTTCACAAACAGCTCTTCACACACTGAGCATCTACAGTAAAGGTGCAAATGAGTCACCTCTCGAGGACAGTGGTGGCTCTGGCTTGACCTGACAGCACAGACATACCAGCAGGCTCTGTACAGTCCAGTCCCAGACCCTGCTCTCTGCAAACAATCTTGCCACCTTATTTTTTTGAAGAGGGCTGCCTAAGCAAGATCAAAACCCAGGAACTTCTACTTCCTTACTCTTTATTTCACCTGAGACTTTAATTCCACATGCCACTCCTCTCTGATCTATAGTTTCCTGGATTGGCCTAAATTTTAAAAATAAAAGATTAGGACATTTGGCACCTAGCATCTATATATAATTCTTGTCTCAATTCTGCTGCCCTTGCCAAGAGGAAGATTCACTACTATTGTGTTATAGGCATGAGATAACCATATGCATTACCAGATTATTAGTCAAATCTCCTTATCAGCATGACAAAGAAATAATAGGGCCCCTGGAAATCTATCAGTGGTCTGGAAAAAGGAAGCACTATTTGCTGAAAAGAGCCCACCCTGTTAGCAGGTGTTGATTTTACTGATTAAAGGGTAATTAGGTTTGGCTGACTCAGTATATGGGGCAGAAAAAAACCTCTGGTGACAGAGGGTATAAGGCGAAAGATGGCACGTGTGCTTGAGCAGCCCTTCAGGTTATTGTTAATAAGGACAAAGCAGAGGGGAGGAAGTTTACATCAGTGTCATGAGAGGCCTTTGTTTTTAAGCAAGTTCGTAAAGATGCCCTCCAAAGGGAAAGCAGAAAGAAGCTCTTGAAAAAAACCAACCAACAAAACCAAAACCAAAAAACATATATTGGCCTTTGAGAAAACAGACAATTCTGTTAAAGCCCATCTCCAGAATACACTTATTCCTTAGGGCATGTGTGAACATCAGCTGTGTGTTTCAAACAGAAAGAGGCCACCTGTTCCAGCTGCAGCACAGACAAAGGATGGTCTCTCTGTCATGAACAGTCTCATGGGGTAAACATGAATCAAGGGGACACCAATATGAAATGTTATCCCTATTTATAGGGATAACAGCCCTTGAAATCCAGCCATGCCTTCAAATCTGTCTCCTGGGGATAGGTATTAATGCATAAGATGATACGCAGTCTCTTGGATCCCTGGACCCAAAGCCACCCAGAAGCAGGAACAGGTTGGTATTGATGCAGTTCA